GCGAGGCAGCTCCCTATTCTTGACGTTACATGACGTTCTTGCTTTTTCGTGCCCAGTCCCCGGCCGAGTTATATTGGGGAAACGTACTGAATTCATGTCAGTCCGTCGGATGTCAAGATTTTTCGGAAATTGTCGTCAGCTCGAGCATTCGACGACTCTTTGTTTTTATTCGATTTTGATTCGATTTTATTTATTTTGTATTGCGGCTCGCATGATTTTTCTCAGGATTTAATACGGTTTAATACGATGCAAAGGATCGACAATATTTTGAATCATTTGGATAGCTAATTTATTTCTTTCTGGTGATATATATGAGCATTTATATTTAGATTTGCTGTTTAGTGTTCGATATAGAGGTATTGAAACCAATATGATTTCATGAATATGTAGTTCTATATAATAGCCCACTGATCGTCTTTATATTTATACAAGGAGTCAAAATGTACTTTTAGTATCTGAGATATGTCCATTGGTTAGCATTATATGTAATATACCGGCTTACATTCATATATTCACCTGCTCAGAATTTCTTTCTACAATCTTAGTCATTACAAATGAATGGTCATCTAAAGCTGACAAAAATGTCACAAATGCCTTTACAAAATTTTAAACAAAGAGTTTTTAATACAACTATCAAAGTTCACTGCCCACGCAAGTTCAAGTCTTTCCCAGTAAGTGATTAAGTCAATGAAAATATTTTTATTTCCTTTTTTCCCAGAACAAAATAATTGAAGAAGCAATTTTATATTGACGTGAACATGCATGCTTGATTGCAGTAATTGTACTGCTAGGTTACATAGGGTAGTTCCCTTTAGTGTGGTGATGTGTTAAAATTAGTGTTGGAGATTGTTTGGGGGCTTTTTTGGGCTTTATATGGAAAGATGACGTAGCTGCTCGTACAGAAAGTCCTGGGCACGAAGTTGCATTGTCGCGACTAACCTCAAAACTGGATAGTGCATTTACTATGCATATGATTAAGCCAATGTCAGCCCGATACAGGTTTGATCAACACAAATCTACTGTCAGTGTTACTGACATGTTAGAAGAGGTTCGAACAGTTTCTGGTAATTGGTGGGAATTGTCTAGATAGAAATTGATCTTTCTGCCAGTGATTTACCAGTGAATGACTAATGAGGTCAAGTCACAAGTGTTGTTTTTTTTATCCAGTGTTTAAAACGTTCTAGTCTTTAGTTCGAATACGCGTGGGAAAGTATTTATTTCAAGTATAAACGTAGAAAAAATACGCAACTTGGTGGCAAAACTATTCATTTAAACACGTTGTCAAATTGACAGATTTGGAGTATCTTTCTTTATTGTAAATATTCTTGCTGTTAAAAATTGGCTCATTGGGTGCCAAAGAATAATACTTTGATATTCAGTTTTAACTTTTAAAATGAGTGGGTTTTCATGCAAAACTCTAGAATCCCATGACAACAGATCTGAAATCTATTCTGAGTATATGCCCAAAAAATCCTTCTTGATAACGTCAAGTCAATTATTTGAAAATCCAAAAATTATATAGATTTAATAACTTGACTATTCAATACAATTTGCATAAAAAATCATATCCTAATATCTGATATATGCATGGGGCAATCAGAGCCGTATCGGCATTGTGATTTATTTATTGGTAATAATCCGCGTGTGTCGTTTGCTTGCTGATATCAGAAGATGTAATATTCCCAGTGCATGAGGTCTATTCATACAATACAAGAAATAAAGATCACTATCTTATTAGAGTATACCTGCCATAAATACTCACTGGGGACAATTAAGAGCAAACTATCATTTTACTAAGGATTAATTGGAATATTTTAGCGTGAATTTTAAGTCTAAGCATTGCATGGAATTTGTATTCGTATAGTTTATAAATCTAGTTTGAACTCTTTTCGCAATTTTAAATAGTGACCAGCACTCTTACTCGTATGATTATAGATATAGTTTAGTGTAATATGCTGTATATGGATCTGCTTTACTATCTTTTAATGTTTTACCTTTATTGATTGTATTTTAATAATCCGAGGGCCTGCATGAAAAACACTTTCGAGTGACTGTGGCTCCCTCATAAAATACGTTAAAAAATAAATGGGTCGGCATGATTTGAAATTTTGAAAATTTGCATTTTCAAATTTGGAAACTGTTTGTATTTCATAACCGTCATTTCCTGTAGTTGAGTTAAGACGGATATGAAGTAAAATAATTATAGTCTTCATGAATTAATGCTGGCTCTTTTTGAATCTTATAAATCATTTAAAAATATTCTTGAAACGTAGAATTACTTTTAGAAATTCCTTGCCTCCTGCAGGTAATATAGAATGTTGTTCTTTTGTTCTCTTTTAAATCTTATATATATAGTTTAAAAAAAAATTAAACAAAGACTGTTTAAAGCAACTGCTGCCCACAAAATTCAAGTATTTCCAAGTAAGCCATTATTAAATCAATAAATGTTTTTTTCTCCTTTTTTTCCAAGAACGAACTACACAAAAGATACATGCATAACTGCATCATGAGCATGTGTTTAAGACCGTATTCCATTTATTCCTAATTAATGGTCATGATTAGGGTTTCTATTTCTTGTTTCAAAAACGTGTATGTATAGGGTATAGGTCTTTTTTTTTAATTTTATTTAATAAATGCTCACTCTGTCTCATGCATGAGAATTATATGCTACGTCAATCGTACATTTGTTAAATGCATGTTATACTTATATCAACTTTGTAACAAACACGTTACACTTTATTTAGTTAGTGAAAACTATAAAGCCAGGGAGTGGGTACGAAAAATTGTTCCCAAACTCTTTGCGGTAAACTTCGGATAAAGAGATTATAGCCTATAGGATCGGTGATTTCAGTAGCCATAAGGTAGGTAGGGTTGGGAAACCAGAAACCCAGGGTTTTTTCCGAGTAGAGTTTCGATATATATTATTAAGCTTGACTATACTACAGTATTGTATATAAACATGAATATTTTAAATAATTTCAGAATACACTTGTTGATTGATTATATGTTTAATTAAGATTACACCATTTGGATTACATGAAGTACCGTCACTTGGTAAAGATTGTATAACTGAAAGAAAAATCAATATCACCATTATTACCATTACTTATCACCATTATTATACCATTTAGATTATATAGTCCCCTTCCTTTATACTAAGCTGTTGTTATATAATGCGAACGGACCTTTAAATGATTAACGAACCAATATGTACGCCATAGCCCTGGCATTCTTGTTTCCGTTGTCTGTTGTACACTGTCCAAGATTTCCCGCGGCGTTGGCAGATGGTCTAAAGTTACGATCACACCATGGCCATATATTCAGACCTCCATCAGCTCCCAAGCCTATGAACGAATCCGGTGAATTACAATGATTTTGCTCGTTTCCCACAAGACCGAATCGAACTCTTGGATGATGACCGCTTCTACCCAATTGTATGTTAAATCCCTCTCGATTGCAGTGACGCTGTAAGGACGATCCATAGATCAATGATTTCCACTGCGCGCGACCAACGTGAGTTTGTCGATAGTTTCCGTCTGCGATCAGGTCATACAACGATGTTGCCGGGTACGAGAAAGAGAAGGCTCTTAAACGACCACCATATTTCATACCAACACAAATTTCTTTAAATGAAGTTCTCCAGTAAGTTGATCCTTTATATTCGTGGTTGTCTAAACCGCCGTTTCGCCCATAGGCATCGTCATTGTAAGTGTTTTTCTTCGTCCAATAAGGGGAACTGTATTTGAAAGTGCTCTATAAAAACAAATGCGTTGAAATCACCCTAAATCTGACTTTAATCCTTCATCTCACATTAAATTAATCCTAAATCTGATCCTAATCCTACCTAAACCTGACCTTATAATGAAAGATGATGTCCACTCGTGTGCGCATGTGCGAACTTTGTTTACGTTTTGTTTACGTATATTTGTAAAATATGATATACTAACTGAATATCTAACACTTTTCTGGTTTGCCATGCTTGTAAATGAATATAAACTCTACGTTTCAATTCAAAAAAGTTCGAAAGATGCAAAATTTGGGCAATGTTTATATCTGGGGGTCCCCCTTTGTTATGAGCAGAACTGATGCACAGAACGGAGTGGACATCATCTTTAATTAATGCTCACCCTAACCCAATTCTAACTTAATTAACTGAGACATTAAATCATTATACGTCTGCACGCAGGCTTACCAAACTTCCGTCAATCTTCATCGCCATTGTCCAACCACCGCCTTGGCAACCCGAGACTGACGTCATTTGACAGTACACGTCGGTAACTTCATTGTTCCCAACACTGATTTGGTAAACACCATTTCCCTTGTTCCTGTAAGATAAACAAAATATTTTCTAACTTAGTTTTTGCCTTATATAACTCGTGCAGAAAACGTCAATTGGAAATTTCACTGGAAACCCAAAAAGTTGATAAAGTATAAAGAACATGCAACCCTCATTTTACCTTTCACTCATCAATATTTGTTTGCATGATTCATATGTATAATGTGCCCGCACTTTAACGTCTTTAAAAACAAAAACAGCGGCATCAGCCAATTAACTAATAGAAAATATTTAGTCACCAAACGGGTTCAGGATAAAACAATAATAATTATTATTATTATACATTTGAACTTTATTCTCGGTTTGTGATTGGGCAATAGACAATAAGCCCCGAATAATTTTCAATGTCCGGTGAAAAACTATTCTCTGCATGTAGAGACCAAGCCCCAGCGTGGTCGGCAGCTCGATATCGATTAACACTTTGCCCTTAGCCAAATAAAATAACTTCATCACCAAACTAATTACACGCAAGATTACCATAGATATCTTATATATACACTAGATAGCGTATCTCTTTTAGTAAAATTGAGGCCAAGAATATTCCAGCGGTTACCCCCATTTGAATAGATGGCAGCCATGTTGGTCGTTCCCACTTGCTAATAAACGCTTAAAAACAACAATAACTTTCATCATTTGAATAGTTTAAAAACGTATTTGGAAAAGGGTTAACT